GGAAGAGCGCGAGCAGAATGCCCGCAGCTCATTAGACCGCCTCGTTAGAAGCAGCGCAGCTACCACGCACCGCGTTTCGGACCCGAGGGGGCCTGGAGTTTGGAGCCCACCTTATTCTATATCCCAGGGGCCTGGGTTTGCAAGAGGGCCCGGCGCAGGGGTTGTGGGGTGCGATCTATGGGGCGTCAGGCTGGATGATCCCGGGCCTCCCTCTTGCCAACCAGTTGCACAAACCTACCGACCTGTTTGCAAAAGGCCAAGGAAGGCGCAACTGCTCGAGAGGCCTGGGGAGATGGGCTCACCTCCTCCGAAAGAGCTGTGGCAAGGAGGTTGCAATGCAGCCCCCGACACACTTCCACCACCCCACTCCTGCCACGGGCACCCGTCCAAACCCTCGCTGCCCGTTCCCATAGACACTGAACACCCCCAGCCCGGGACACGAGGCAACGCTATTAGTGCAAGGAAACTTCCCGCGTGGCAGGGCTGCTCCTGCAGCAGAGCATCCGGTGAGCACTTCTCATGCATAGCTCCTCGTTTCTGACGTATGTACACGGTGGGATGCTGCATTTGCCTGGAATGCAGCTAATTAACTTAAAATGAGAGACTATCCCCAAAACCATCCTAGGGGGACATTTATTGCCAACCCCGTGCAAAAGCCAATGCAGGGAATTCAGGTGCAGTCAGGCAGAGCATTGCTCCGCTGGGGCTCACAAAATGCTGCTCAGGGAGCTGTCTCAGGGCCAGGGACGAAGTCCCGGCCAGAACAACCGTGGCCCCAGAGGCTGGTGGTTAAGAAACTCGCCTGAGCTACAACAGATCCGGCTCGAGCCCTTACCCTGGAGCAGGGACTTGAACGTGGGGTCTCACCTGCGTAGGGGTGCCCTGGCTATACAGAGGGCTTTGCCCAGCCATTCATGTGGTTGCAAACAGCCTGCTTCAGGTTTCAACAAATCGGCATTTTCCAACAAAAGAAATGTCATCCAAAAGGTCCCCAAGAAGCCTGGCATGGCTGGCACACCCAGCGCTGCCCGGAGCGTCACGGCCGCGGTCCCAGCGCAGGGTGCATCACGGACCCGGCTGCAGGCCCGGCCCGGCCACGCGCCCATAACGCGCGTGTCCACGGACGGCTTCTCTTCTCCAGGTCCCCAATGTTTTGACACGTGTCAGCCGTGTCACCCACGACTGCACATAATAAGGCTGCTCAGGGAGACCGATCTTAAAAAATACTCTGCTCTGCAGAGACCTATTGGCAAGGAGCAGCCTGCACAAAATAAAACAGATGCATAGCGCTGCCAAGCCAAGGAGCTGGATGGGCGGCAAGCGGCAGTGAATTCATCATCCAGCCAGCTGGGAAAACAACTACAGTTAACCCCTCCCGTGCTACCGCTTGCAAGCCAGGGATCCTGCATCCCCTCTGCTGACAGCAAGGCAGCCAGCAGCGAACCCTGGCTTCAGAGCCACGAGTCCATCCTTTTCCAGACAATGCACTAGTCTTCTAGGGGCCAGAACCACAGCATCCCGTTAGCATGCTGGTATTAGCACCAGTCTTGAAGAGCAACCTCCTTCCCCATCCTCTCCTGCTGGAGGAAGGATGCTTCAAGAGGGGCTGCTGAGAGCTCAGAGGTTGCCTGGATCACCCTGATCAAGGGGCTGGGGGGCAGAGCAAGGGACAGGAAGCTCATTTACTCGCCTTGCATTGCTTCAGCTATTACCGCCTTAGCCGACACTGCATCATGCTAGTTGTTGCAAGAAGAGAAAGTCCCCACCGCAACCATCCCCTCCCTCGGTGCCTTGGTCTCCTGCACGAGCACGAACAAACATTACTATACAAGCCCTGCAGGCTTGCATCAGAGGGCGCAGGGCAGAGAGAAGCTCCCCGATCGCCAGCCAAGACGAGGAGGCTGCACAGGTGTGGGGACAAGGCTACGCGACTCCAGACAGGGCAGAGGTGGGGGAGTCGCGCTGCACGATGGCCTTTGCTCTCTGCATAATGAAGCAGGCCCAGTTAAAGGCAGCGAGCCATCTTCCTCATCCTCCTCACTGGGTTTTGGAGCGGGTGCTGGCAACTCAGCTAAAATCCAGCCCTGAGAGGCCAAGGTGTCAGCTGAGAACCACCCAGCACTTGGGTCACACACCTGGTCTCTCTCCGTGTAGGTGAGAGCTGGAGAAGAGGCTGAGTTTGGTGGGAAGTCACTTATCCACAGCTAAGTGGTGGATACGAGTGGCACTGTCGGCTTGCGGGTACTTGGGAGGTTTAGGCACCGAATCCAGCTCGAGCAGCCCGGAGCCAGACTCGGTGGGGGCAGCAGCGCTAATGGACTGCACCCCGCAGAGAAAGAGGGATGATCCTTCTGCAAAAATCTGATGGTGGCAATTAGAAATCCTGCCAAGATGTCTGCTTCCCACCGGCCCCTGGGTTTTACAGCGATTCGGCGCTCCCATTAGCTCTGCTCCATCCTGCCTGTCAGTCACCACCACATCGCCCTTGCCTCTGTCCTCCCACACATGAAGCCAACAAGCGCTGCCCACACAAGAGAATTCAAAAGGAAAGAATGAGAGTGGCGCTGGCGGGTTTCCAGTAGCGCTAGCAACCGCTGGGAGTGGCTGGTTGGTTTCCAGAGCAGATCTCAAACCAAGGGCCTTTGTACACACCACGTTTGTTGCCCTTTCTTGCGCTGCAACTGCGTGACTTTGCACGAGCGGGATTTCCGGATGCTTTAAAAGTCTTTCTGGTGCATTAAACTAAAACTCCTCGGATGTAGTTTAGCTCGGCTCACCAGGAGTTAAAGTGTCGTGTCCATGGATCTGTTGCGTGTAAGCACAAAGGTACTCAAAGACGTGTAATTAGCCGAACAGTCCAACGCCAGAACATGCCACCATGTTTGACATACTGGAGCTGTTGTCCTCCCTCATTGCATGGCATCCACACAATAGCTGATGAGTTTTGGTTTCTCTAGATCCTTGGTGGTATCCTATGGCCCTGGACAGCCTTCCTTGGCAGAGCTTTATAGTTTCATTGCTGTGGGTGCCTACTTTGCAAATGTGAACTACCACCTGTTTCCTTTCCCTCCAGGTCTGTTTTACCAACAGTTTTCTATGCACATCACCAAATACAGGCCCTGTTCGTTCCCTAATTAGCTTTCCCCAGCTGCAGTCTTGCAGCTTGCTTACAGCTTTTTCATGGTGGTTGTTTTAAATGTGCACTTTACACATTTAACTGGCACCGTTAAACCCACCATTTCCTGAATTTAACACAAACACACACCCGATTCAGAGCAGCTCAGGCTGATTAATGAATCAGAAAAGATTAATTTTCTACTTGAGGTACCTATCTGCATTACTGCACAGGGCTACGCCACAAAGCAGGTATTCTGTCGGTTCAATACATGCATCCAGAAATTAAATCTTCTTGTTTCCTTTTGTGCTTTTATTCATGTTAACATGAAGGTACCATCTGCCATTGTTATACAGACCCCCACAAAGCCTACAGCTTTATACTCCTGACTCGCACAAAGGAATCATTTGGCATTGTTTGTATTACATAGGAGCGCGTCGATCTAATCCCTACACTAACACCGTGAATAAAACACATCACTGCCGATGAAAAGGGCCAATGTGCATCTAAGTCCAAAGGAGAATTTGAGAATGAACGTATAGTCCAGGGAGACAGCTCCTATCTTGGCTAGGTGGGCAACCTCTACCGATTCAGGACCTGATGCTGCAGAGTAAGCACGTACTGACGCACTTTGCTGACCCGAGTCCTTAACTTCTCATCACATGGGTGGGTTGGACAATGGCAATACCAGGGGAATGATCTCTTTGTGGACTTCCTTTAAATACAGACCTCCCTTTACAGAGAAGGGAAGATGACCCACAAGATCTATGCCTGTCTCTATATCCGGTGAGAAAACCGCGACACGCGTGTAACCTATTGACTTGATTTCATACATCTTGCAACAGGCCATTAATAGAGAGTTGCACATAGGGCAGTTGTACCCTGTGGTAATCTTGCCATCAAAACTGGATCTGTATCGTTGCTGCATAGACAGATATTTTTTTTCTATCTATACCTATTTATTACCCACTAAAAGCACCTCTAATATCCTCATTATCTATTAGTTGTCTCAAAAGGCTTCAAGACCTAAACCAAGATCTATAACTTTCCTAGATTTTCAGGGCTGGAATTTGTTCACTATACCTTATGTCTTTTTAAAATGCGACAAAGCCAACTGAGCACAATCTTAAGGGAAAACGGGAACTTGCGGTTTAATGAGCAGTTTAAGGAGTATAAAGATTAAAAAAAACACTGTCCAATTGGATGAAAAACTCAAGTATTTCTGTGAACATTTTCAAGGGGTTCTGCCCCTCAAGGGTTGAATTTTGGCAGAAGAGAAGGGTACTTTCAAATGTAGGATTTGGGCTCACTTTGTTATACTGTCAAATCTGCCTTCACATTTTTCTCCACTTGGCAAGATGCACAGCCCGTGCGGCACTGGGATATTACATCACGCGGCGTGCCATGGTCTAGACAGCCATTCGGCGTGTCGTCAGGATTTTGCAGAAAACCATCAACCCGATGACGTGCCCTGTGGCAGAAAGCCACTTTTGTCTCCCCAAAGTCTCTGCTCTGTGACAATTTGGTTAGGATGGGCCCAGCACAGGACATATCCTTACCCTGTCTCTTTGGGTAACCTGAGCTGGACACACTCCTGAGGGAGGGGGGAAACCTGCTCCCTCTGCCCACGTGACTGGCATCACATACCTGGGTGAGGGGCTTCCTTCCTGGTGGGCTAGAGTCTGCCCGGCAACTAGTGATGTATTCAAATTGGTTGGCTCACAGCCAACAGGTGCTGGCCTCCATTGGACCAGGTAAATGAGGTCACAAGGGCTATATAAGTTAAGGACTGCATGGGAGGAGGGGGGCAGCAGCCATGAGGGATACTCAGGAACAAAGAAGAGCTGGACCATCTGAAACTGGCTCTCTCTCTCAAAACTCATGATCAAGGAACTGCCTGCCTCCGGAGGGGATCTCCGACCGCCTCTGGATGATACTTGTGGGTAACCTACCTGAGACCCACCTAGATATACAGCTTGCAGTAGCTCAGATGCGAGATCAAAGGCTACCCAGCCATAGGCGTTTGCACTATGGGATTTCTCTGATATTGCTCTACCCTGGACCCTGTTCTAACCCTGCCCTCTGCAACCAATAAAGTTCGCCTTTGTACCTAGTGTGGGAGACTTATTGAGGGGTGGGTTCAATTATGCCCAGGAGGCCCCTTAGGTCTGCGGACTAAGGGAGACTTTCCTTTTTGGCCCCCGACTTGGGGAAGTGCCCAAGTTCTTGTATTGGGTCGAGTACCCATAGGACTATTAGGCCTGTGTTTCCCTGAGGACACAGACCCCAGACAGTCCCTTATCGGGGTGGTGGCAGCACACGTTACCGCCGGACTCTGCGGTGGGGCTCGAAAGGGGGTTTGCCAGGGCTTGGGTGCCCCTGGAGAGACACGTGGAGTCCAGAAGGTAGACGGGCGTAGTGAGATGGGAGGCTCAACGCAGGAGCGCCCCCTACTGGCCTGCCACATGCCCTACCTAGCAATATCCCAGAATACTGGGCTGACTGAAAATCGAGATTAAAAAAGCCCTCCCCAGCTGCCAAAAGGAAAAATTCAATATCTAGATTTAGAAAAATGTTTTTTAAGTTTTTCTACCTTTTTCTTTTCTCTTATACAAGACTCCGCCGGGAATACGAAAGCGTGTGCGGTCACTTCCGTAGTGGTGTCACCTTCGAGTCGAACCCGACACATCTATTCTAGCTCTGCTAAACCGTGTGCTCTCATTTCAGGTATCGGTCATTGAGGATGCCGCTCCCCAAATACCTGCAGACTTTAGCGAGGAAAGGCTGGCATTTCCTGCCTTCGCTACCAAGCGGCGATTAGAGAGGGACCTCGCATTCACAGGCAGTCTGTTCACCTGGAAACAGTCACTTTGCTCAGGCATATTCAAAAATCTGCATGCAAGTGAGAAAATAGCTTGTATATATGCTCATATTTTTAGGGCTCAGATGATCCATTAAAAAGAGGCATTAGGAAAACCATTCGGTTGCAAACATGCACCTGCCCTTCAAAAAGGGCACGAGATACCTTTTTAGCTGCCACATGCCAGGATGTCTGGAGGGAAAGAAAAAAATCAGCAGCCTTTTCAACTATGGCACAGATCTGACGGGGGAGTGGGTTTGGCATGAACGCTGGCTTCGATACCTGGCTCGGTCTCAATGGACTGAGCACAGTGCACTAACCCATCCTCTCCTCCCTTCGACTGGTTCCCCATGACCAAGTCAATCATTTTTTGTTAATAAAACAAATCGGAATAAGCTGATACCAGAGAAGGACAAACGTTCTTGCACCTCATCTAGTTACTGACATTTCATTTCGAGGCAAGGACACATGTTCCCGGTACTATTCGATTTGCTTCCCGGTCAGCACATCGGGGATGAATATTTACCATTGGGCTCAAACAAACACAAGGCTTCTTTATCAAACCGTTTTCCATCTCTTGGCTGCTTGGTGCTGCATCCAAAACCCACGCTAAGTAATGATTGGCACCGGCACGTTGGAATAAAATTGCGTAGGGACAGCAACATCCCTCTTCAATTGTTGCTAGAGAGCGCGGCCGTGAAATACCAAACCTTTCATGTGCCGATGCCGAGCTTTTTCCAGTGGCTTTCTCAATGGTTTACATCGTAGCTAACAAAACCCTTTCCTTGACAACGCGTGGCGTATGCACACAGAAAAACGAGGCTTGCACTTCTCTGCTTGTGCTCATTAGCGCTAGGATATCTTCCCCTGGAGAGAGGCTTAAGCAAATACTTTGTTTTCAGCTTGAAATGGCTGTGATTTTTTTAGGGGGTGGGACAGGGAAGAATGGCACGTCCCTCGTGTCCCGAACACCGCTTTGCTCTCTCGGCAGCACATTCAAGGCAAGGCAGCAAGAAAGAAAGTCTACAGAGGACAGCAGACCTCCATGCACGGTTAAATCTCTCTCTGTGCAGCCTCGTACTTGCCAGAAGTGAGAAAAGCCATTAGAGCTACATCCAGCAGATGTTTTAATCACGGTCTTCTTGTCGATTTGCAGCATTCAGGGTTTGACTGATGCGACAGAACATAAAGCAGACAGCTAGATTTATCACTGTTCCAATCTCTAATCACTTGCCAGAGTTATTCCCTGCAGCACCATGGGGATAATGATGTTTAACATATCAACAAAAAAATCTTCTCCTCTTCATTTCTGGCCGGGCGCAGAGAAACAGGCAAGAGCCTCCCCGCCTCCACCGAAAGACAGAGGCTTGCAGAAAATCCCACTGGTGTTAAGATGATGGCGCTGTGATTATCGCATGCACTTTGCTCCTTTGTCCTGAAACTACCTGGTAAAC